AAACAACCATTCTGCTTATTTTGCTTTGGGATATTTTTAATGAAAATGAAAAAAAAACGTGTTTTTTGTTGTTTTTATCTGTAACTTACTTTCATATGAATTAGTTTAGTTAATTATACATTACCTAAAAATTACTACAGATCAGCAATATATTCCATACATACACACAATCTACACAATATGTGATTAAATTAATAAAATATCACCATTAAAATATGAAAACATTTATTCACTTTAATGATTACATAGAGAGTAACATAGCAAAGAAATAGTCATGAATAATTTTTCTTTCTTCTTTATTTCGCTTGCTTTTTATCTCAGCTCTCAAATTGTTAGTCTATGGTTATAAGAAATAAAACCTGCAATACTTGAATTCTTTAGGATCCGTTCTCACCATTCAATCATTTATTATCATTTTCTGCATTAGAAAAATTTTAATAATTATATACTGACACTTTTAATTTTTTATAAAAAATGTTTTATGATTCAGAAGTTGATCTGTATGTTGTTAAATGAAAAGAAGTGAGTAAAGCATTGTCACTGTTCAGGAATTAAGACAAGTGTTCCTGAATAGGACTTTTATAATGATTTATGAACTTTTTAGTATCTTAGAAATGGTAGTATTAATAATAAAACAAAAAAATGTTGGTTTCCTTTATGAGGTCAAATTAATTTCTACAGCCATCAATTAAATGAAATTTCTTGGTTCTTAATTGCAACTGAAACGATCAAGATGAACTTTCCTGTCCACCAGTATGTCTCTAATGAATTCTATCATTGCTATGGTTATGAGCTTTATACTGTCAGTAGACCAGGAAGTCAATACTTAAGTTAGTATCTTGTTAGCTGTAAATATTTTTTTGTCTTGATGCTGGATTGGAGAGTCTGGTTAATTGAGTGCCTGCAAACATATATCAAGTGTTGTTTTGTTATGCAGTCAGGTTAGTTCATTGTTGTCAGTAATTTTATTTTTTCTCAACAGAAAATATGTCTTTTTGTATTTCTTGTAAGATTAAATTTTGATTTGATTTCTTCCTGTCTATAAAGAAAATCAAAAAAAAAAAAATTTTTTTAACTTTTTTAATTGAGAAAAGAACATGAATTCTTTTTCAAGGTAAAAATCTTACCTTGCGGTATCTGTCAAAAATTCTTTTTCAATGTAAAAATCTTACCTTGCGGTATCTGTCAAAAAAGAAACCAAAATCAAGATTGGATTGACTTTAGTAGGCCTTGAAATATGGTAAAATTGTTTGCACTTCCCTACTAGTCTCCACCAATTAAAACTTTTCTTACCCCAATAAAAGAAAGCTACTTTGGATGACAGGCAGATTCAAGCTTCAAACATTGCCAAGTGAACTCATCTTTGTATTTACTCCAAATAGTCTGGCACAAGGCCATCATAGTGATACACTCAGTTATAATCTGATAGGGTCTTAGCAGGGAATATATAATGACACTGATGTACTAGCTGTAAGAAATTATCTCTGCGAGGGTAGATCAATAAGTCCTTAGCCTAATATAATATTCACTTTATGTAATTAATGCTCCCTGCTAAATTAAGTGCAGTGACAAGGAAGGAGATATATTGAAAAATAAATATTTTATGTAAAATAAATGACTTTTTCTCATTATTAGACACACATACTTATTGATGTACTTGTCAGAGTTACCTCCTCCTTAATTTCCTAATTTTTGAAACTGCTACTTGGGGACGCTCTCCATATACTATATAAATCAACGAGTTCTTGTCTCGTTCTCTTTTCTTCTCACTTTTCAACTGTTATACCACAATGTAAATCTCTAGTGAAGATTTACATCTTCCCTTTTGTGGGTGGGTGGGGGTTCGCTGTGTGTTTTCTTGGGGAAACACGCATAAACATTATATACACACATGTACATACGAACATTCACATTCACTTACACATGCTTTGACCACAAACTTTCTACATTCATTCATAAACACTAATTATCATTTTTGTCAGTTGTAACCATTATTATATGTCAATACACATATACCTGTTTGTATATATATATATATATATATATATATATACCTGTCTTTTTTGTTTCCTTCTCATTTTTCCTTTTACATTTCTGTTGGTCAGCTCATACTCAGAGAGACTGCCATGTTTGTAGTGGGATATTTCAGGAAATGCCTGTGTTTGTCTCACAATGTGTACAAATGGCCTGCTACATACCTATGTATAAACAATTTTCATTTTTTAATTTAAAAAGAAAAATAATTTGTTTAATGCTGTGCTGCTGCCTTAAAAAATTCTCATGCTGTACAAACTTTATAAAAAGTGTCTCCACTCTATAAAGTGAAAACAAAAATGATCATGATTTTAATTAGTATAAATTTTCTTTGATGTAATAAAGACCTTAAGTAAATTTGGCCACTCAAAAGCTTTTTTGTTTCTTTTGTTGCGATTGGAGAAGTTCCAAAGAAAATCCAAATTCCTAACATGTGAAAAGAATTTACAATCAGAACAAACAATCTCTTTGTCTGAATGAACACACAACACTTTGTTTATATTTGTTGTCAAATCCGATATCACACTTTAAAGGCATTCAGAAAGGAGAAATGAAAAGATAAACAAAATATATTCATTTGAATGAAATTGGCTTTGACTTCAAGATTGCCTAAAACTTTTCTCATTAGCTTTTTTTAAAAGAGGATGAAAGTTCGAAAAACTTGCTTTGTAGATTTTCAATATTTAATAAACAAAAAATGTAACCAAATCTTTTAATAATTGGTTAATGTTTTGTTTTTTAAAGAGACTAGTTTCACAAACCATTTGGGCCTCTCCAATGTTTCATCCTCATTGGGTACTTAACACTAGTTAAGTTTTATTAACTTAGATTCACCAAGTACACTCAAATCACAATCAAAATGAATATCATGAACATATTTTATTAATCTAAAAGTGTCCATTTTAATTAGTAGGTGGTTCAGCTTATTATAAAAGTATTACACATACTTTTGTTAACTAGAGTTCCTGAGTTCAACCCTGGTAACATTCATTATTCAATACTTGTGGCCTTGTGCCAGACTAAGTTAAGCTTATGAAATGTCAATAAACAACCAACTCCACTGCTATTCATAATATTCTGAGAATCGATAATCCTCAAAATATTTTAAATCTTCTATAAATTGTATTTGTTAATTAAATATTTATTACCTATGATTATAGCCGGATGAAATTTTGAAATGAATGTTTTGCCATTATTACTGGACTTGTCCTGATTGGTTTTCTCACATCACACATTTTTTGTAATCTTTTGGGTTTTTTATCTGTTTTAAATATTTATTCATTTTTATTTTGTTTTAAATATTTATACATAATTCTTTTGATGAGTTATTGTTGTCTATACAGAATGACATCCTCATCTTTGTTATTTTGGGTACAAACAATTCCTTGTGCCACCAGATAAAGACTCCCTGGGGTTGAGAGAGTGGGATTACTCCAGTGCAACAATTGTCACCTAGGGAAGGTTACTGAATAGAATAATGATATGAAGGTTGATAATGAACAATAATACTTAGGAGAAGAAAAACACATATAAGATTCGCCAGTGGTGTGTAGAAGTAGTTACTGCTAGAAGTGAGTCAAGTAAATTTCACAATGAATCTCCAACTGCAGAATATATACTAACTGCCCCATGCGGTCAGATGTGGAACAAAGCTGAATTTAATGTGGGGTATCTGAGCCATAGGCTCGGCCAAAAATTCCCCATAGACCCTGTATAAAATGGGGTTGGGTAGCTGTTTCCCCAGATGAGACTCTGCTCTTCAACATAGCCTCAACTGGGGATCCTCTCTGCCTGGAATCAAAGAGTTTGACCAGCACAGCTGAGGATGAATCTCAAATTGCAGGATATCTACCAACCCCGCCTCATGGTCAGATGTAATACAAGGCCAAATTTAATGTGGGCTATGTGAGCCATAGGCTTGGCCAAAAATTCCTTATAGATGCTGTATAAAACAGGGTTAGATAGCTGTTTCCTGAGATGAAACTCTGCCCTTCAGCATAGCCTCATCTGGGGATCCTCTCTGCCCGGAGGCAGAGAGTTTGATCAGCACAGCTGGAGATGAATCTCCAACTGCAGACCAATATACAGTATTTACTACTATATTTATGTGAATGGGAACATACCCATTATCGTCCATAGGTATGCTACAACATCCAGATCCACTGATAGATTCAGTTCTTCTTCAGACCCAGGACAACAATGAATTAATTGGATATTTACTCTGGTGTATGCTGTATCTGATAATGGCTCATGAAGTTTCTGTGTAGAAGAAATACGTGTTACAAATAAAAACTAGGGCAAACTCATTCCATCTTTTCTAAAAGAAAACGTTTAATGGAATAGCCTGCATGTGCTACCTACAGGGTTGATGGAATGACCAGATGTTCTGATTGACGGTTTACCTTCAAATGCATATAAAGTCAGTGGCAGTGAACAAGTGAGAGAAGATGACAAGGTGGACATGTGGATTTGCAGCTATTTGGACTTACAGCTCTGTGAATTTATGACAATTTAGTACAGTTTCATATTCTTTAGTCACTTGAATATGTTTTTCTTTTCATTTCTATGTTGTTTACATGTCAAGTATTTTATCTTTCAAATTGGATTTAATGATGATCCATTTTCACAATGTAGACACTCCTCTTGTCTTTAGAGCAAATTTACCAACAAGTTGTAAAGGTTTATTTTATCAGCCGTTTCTCCATAAACATTTTTCACTCAATGAAAGAAAGTTTTATTGTTAGTTTTATTTGATTTTTCTTAATTCAGTACTTTAACTTGGAAAACTTTACAAATTTACTAATTTAGCAAAACATTTTGTTGTTGCCAATCACTTTATAAAGCAAATTCTAAGTTATAAATTCTTTCTTTTTGGCAGTTAGAATACTTGTTAGTTGCATTCATATCTTGTGAATGAATTTTCTGTCCTTTTCATTAAATTTCCAAATATGCTTTTAATTTTTCAGAAGTTACCAAAACAAACGAAATGCGAAAGGCTCCTCCAGTTCTCCCTCCTCGTGAGTAAAAAAATATTGACTTTCTCTTTAACATTATTTTATGTTGGCCATGGTGTTCTTTACCTAAGGCTAAGTCATAGAGCAACTCATGTCCAGAACTGGAAGCCTATCTCAAATCTCGTCATTCCAGATGGGAGTGAAGATTTTTATTTTCAGTTTGGGTTTTACCATAATTCACTACTATATTTAGCTTAAGATATGTTTGTAATAATTTTAGCATATTTAATTGAAGTATAAGATTTATTTGTCCTTCAAGACATGCTATGTTGTGTTTCCATTGTATAAACAAACATTTTTTGTGTTAAATTTATTAAAAAAAATGTAATTTAGGAAACTTGGTCTTGTTACTTGGAAGTTAATTTAAAATTTGTATCTATGAAATTTTTATTCATAAAATCAAATACACTAAGGATCTATTTTCTCTATTTTTGTACATGTAATAGAGAATCAGGTCAGCCCAAGAAAAGACTCTGAGTTGGTTGTATGTGGTGCTGTAAGCATCAAGAGTTGCATCCTCTTCCACAATAGGCTGTTGAGAGAAGACCTTCTACTTAGAGTAGGTGGCACTGACTATTTACATATGAACAATACTAGGCAGGTATTAGTCAATAGTCAGCGTAGGTCTGGGATTGAGATAGCTATATAGCACCAGTGTTTTTTGCAGTTGAGAGAGGTGCGTCTGACATGTGGACGTGCAAATACCAGATGAACACAGTATAATGTGTATTTCTGTTTACAACATTAAAAAATATGTTGAATTTTTATCATGCTTCTTTACCATTTTTTATACCATTTCTTAAAAAATTTTACTCGATTTAAAGAAATGATTTAAACCAATTTTCTTCTATTCTTCTTACAAATATTGAAAAGTCCTCCACCCACCAAGAAATAATCATGTTTTCTCCTGTTTCATTTTTAACAGACTCTTTTTTTTTTCTGAAAATGTTTTTCTTCAATTCTGTCTTAACACTGCAAAATTGATGTAAAACTTCTATTATTATTTACATAATATTTAATATTATTTCTTACATAAACTTAGTTTCATATTTTTTCTTATGATATTGTTATTTATAACAACAAATATATTGATGATAAGATTTGGTTTCTTAGGAGCAATTTTTGTTTTTCTTTCGAAAAAGTATTTTTAAAAAAGTATTTTGAATTTTAATTTATTTTACCATTAAAAAAACAAAATAGAAGTAAACATATTTTATACTACAAAATTAATGAAAAATCATTTATTAAGAACATTGTTATGTAAATTTAATGTCAGAATTAAAATAAAATACATTTATGACAAAAATAAGTCAGCATAACAATAGTTATTCCTAACAAATAAAATAAAATTAAAAAATTTTATTTTATATTTTGTTTCATGTCATATTTTTATTCCAGAATTCATAATTCCAGTATAATTTTTGTTTCATTAAAACAGTTTTAATGTGGATAATTAATTCAAAGATTAAAATGCATATTTTATTTGTACACCCTTGTTAACAGGGTGGCAAGTGATGGATCCAAATCTATGCCAAATAATATATTAATTGTAATAAAACCTTAGTAAAGAAAAATATATGATGAAGGATGAACTTTTCAAGCCAAATTAATTATGCTCTTAATTTTTATTTTTTCTTTGAATTTCTTAAGCCAACTACAGCTGTGAACTACTGCAAACCAAAACTAAAGGTCTTTGTTTCCAATGGAACACTGAGATTATGCTTCCAGTTCTGTGTGTGAGTTCCACTATGACTTGGCATTTAGTAAAAAATGCCATGTGTTGGACTCAGTTTCTGTGTGTCTCTGTGCATGCACACACAGAGTGTGTGCCAAGTAATAAAAAACCAAGGATAAAAAAAATAAAGATTATTCAATAAAACTGGCCTCAACCATGATGATGATAGCCTTGTAGAGGGTGCAAAGAAGTCCCTCAAACAAATAATAAAAAGAAAATACACTACAAATAAAGTAAAATAAACTTTTGTTTATTTTTGTAAAGAATAATTTTTTTCCTTGTACAAAAATGAAATTGTCCGTAAAGCTGCGGAAGAAAAAGAGAAAGAAAGGAACTGGGAATGTGAGAGGGAAAGGTAGGACTATGTGTAGTGAGCGAGATGAGAGAAAGAGAGGGTGAAAGAATGTTCACTGATACGTGATATTGCCTGTTGTGTGAACCGCTGAATCCTCTCGGTGTGTGTGTGCTCGAAAACTGTCCGTGTCGCTTTGATGTCAGCTTGTCGCTGTTCTCTCTCCCTTCTGATGAGAGTTTCTACCTTCCTTATATAAGAATGATGGGTTTCTTATGTCGAGTCCTGATTGGTCAATAAATCCTATTTTTGACCATGTGGTGTGCTTTTCACTACGTCCGAACTTTTGGGTGCGCCGTCCTTGTTTTTGACCCCACAGGGCATGGTAAGGAATGAATTCTGCGCAATTGTATTTTTTGATACACGGGTGTGAATTAATTTTATTGTGTGTATGTGTGTGTGGAAAATAAAATAAGAAACAGCACAATACTCCCCCCAGATTGGAAAATATATGAAAGATACATATGTTTTCAATATGTGATATATTCTTTAAAATGTTTCGGCCAGTGGACTTTTCTGCCAGTTTTCGTTGTAGGTGTGATGTCAGTATTTTGTTTTTTTGCTTCCTCATTTTCTGTGTGAATATGTGTTTGTGGAGGTATTGTTTTCTTTTCTCATAACAGTAAAATATTTTTTGTGCCTGTCCAGAACTTGATATGGTCCTGAATTATTTGGACAGAGTGGTTTTTTTAACTTTCGCCATTTCTGATAAATATATATTTGCAGGTGTGAAGATCGTTTGGGATGTAAGTTTGTTTCTCTGTTTTCCTGGTTGGTGCAAAGTTGAGAAGAGACATTTTATGTTTTAATTCTGTTACAAACGTTGTTGTAGGTGAAATGTCTCTCTTGTGATTAAAATACTGTCCAGGTAATGTTAATGCTGATCCAAAAACTACCTCTGCAGGTGTGCTTTGCAAATCTTCTTTCACCGTGTTTCTTATCGCTAAAAGAATTAGCGGTAAATTGTCTGTCCAGTCCGCATTATTTAAATTCATAGCTAGAGAAGCTTTTAACTGTCTGTGGAATCTTTCAACCATCCCATTTGCACAAGGGTGATAGGCGGTTGTTTTGATGTGATTCGTTCCTAACAATTGGGTAAATTCAGCAAAAAGTGTTGACTGGAATTGTGAACCTCTATCTGTTGTTACTACTGAAGGTCCTCCAAAAATTGCTATCCAGTCCTGCAGTATAACTCTGGCTATTGTTGCAGCTGAAGTGTCTTTGACTGCTATGGCTGTAGGCCATCTGCTAAATCTGTCAACTAGTAAGAATATGTGTATGTCCTTTTGAGGTGGGTAAAGGTCCTACTAAGTCGACATGAATGTTGGTGAATCTAGCATCAGGTATGCTAAAAGTGCCAAGTGGTGATTTCGTGTGTCTGTGGATTTTGTTCTTTTGGCAAGGTATACAAGTTTTAGTCCAATTGCGAATGTCCGTGTTGATATTGGGCCAAACAAAGCGTTCTGCTATTAATTTTACAGTGGCTCTTTTTCCTGGATGAGATAAATTGTGAAAATGTTGAAAAACTAGTCGTCTGATGTTCGGTGGTATATATGGACGCGGATGTGTTTGTGATACATCACAATAAAATTTTGTTGTACCAAATGGTATCGGCATTTCTTTCAGTTGTAAGGATGTTTTTTGCTGTACAACTGGAAGTGTTTCATCTGTTTTCTGCTCTTGTGCGATCAATTCCATACTTAAAGAACTGGAATTTAAAGAGGCTATTGTAGATCGAGATAATGCGTCTGCTATAATGTTCTCTTGTCCCTTAATATATCGGATGTCTGTGGAGAACTGGGCGATATAATCGAGATGTCTGATTTCTCGTGCACCATATTTATCTACATGTGTATGTAGTGCATATGTTAATGGTTTGTGATCTGTATAAATGCAAAAATTTCTTCCTTCCAGCAAATGTTTAAAATGTTTAATTGCAAGGTAAATTGCTAGAAGCTCCCTTGAAAAGGTGCTGTATTTCGTCTGTGTCTTGCTTAGCTTAGCAGAAAAAAATGATATAGGCATCATTGTGTTGTTAGTAATTTGGTGTATGACTGCTCCTACAGCTATTTCAGATGCATCTGTTGTAAGCGTGAGTTTTGTGTCCTCACTGTCCGTTACGTAGTTTAGTTTTGTAAAGTTGGCCAAAGCAGTTTTAGCTTGTTTGAAGGCTTCTAGGCTAGGCCCTTCTAACTTTAACTGTTGGTTCTTTGTTTTGTTTTGTAACAAATCTGTTAATGGTGCAAGTAATGTAGAACAGTTAGGTAAAAATCGTCTGTAATAGTTAATCACGCCTATGAATCTGCGTATTTGTCTGACTGATGTTGGTTGTGGGAAATTTGAAATTGCACTTACTTTTCTCGGTAGTGGAGATATTCCGTCCTTGTCAATTAAGTGTCCGAGGAAATTAACCTTTGGTTGGCTGAAAACGCATTTCTCTGTATTTATTTTCAGACCGTAATGTGATATTCTTTCAAATGTTTGCTCTAAGTGCTGTCTGTGCTCGTCGAGGTTTCTGCTGGCGATTAAAATGTCATCCACATATGCAAATATAAATGGCAGACCTCTAAAAACTTCGTCTATTAACCTCTGGAAGGTTTGACAGGCGTTCCTAAGCCTGAAAGGCATCCTTACGAACTCGTAAAGGCCAAATGGTGTGGTCAGTGCAGTTTTATGAATGTCCTCTTCTGCCACTGGAACTTGGTAGTACGCCTTTACAAGATCCAATTTGGAAAATATGGTGGCGCCTTGTAGACCGATGGCGAAATCGTGGATATGTGGAATAGAGTATCTATCCGGGACTGTTTTAGCATTTAATCTTCTAAAATCGCCACAAGGACGCCATGTTGTAGCGTTGGACTTTTGCACCATGTGTAGCGGTGAAGACCAAGCACTTTTCGAGGGTCGGATGATCCC